CCTGAAGCTCTGTTCTGGAATACCTAATCGAATCTGGACACCAAGAAAACCCACAAAACAACTTCAAAGCTATCTACAGAATACATGAGAACCTTGCTAAAAGAGTACGAATCAAAAGTACTTCAAACCGCAGAAACACTGGTGAATCCCGAACTCTGCATACATCAGAAGTTTGCGTTAATTAAATCCACAGTAAATCAATACGTAATTTTTCTTTCGTCTTTACTTACTTGTTTGATTCTTAGTTGTATAATATTTTCTTCTCCCACACCTTATAAATCTCCACCCCATATTACCACTGTTGTTAATTTGACTTTTGTTCAGTTTTAATTTTACCTGCGGTCTACTTGACCACGTCAGGTAGATTACGTCACTCGACTTGCTTATTTAATCTTATTTTAGTTTCTAACCAACTAACAAAATTTTTTTATCTAAAATTTACAATTCTAATGACACATCTTTTGGAAATATTCACTTTGTTTCTAAGAAAATTGACCATACATATGCGAGTGTACAGCTTGAGGATAGATAATATCGCTGAAAAGAGTAACCTTTGGCTGAACGCCTATTTTTTTTTACATATGACCTCATGGGAATGTTTCAGTTTTGCAAACGTTGCATTTGAGTTTTACTTATTTTATGCCGCTGTTTGATAGACTTAGGTATTTACTAGAAGCCGTCACAGCAATCATTCGATTTTGTCATTTCTTTTAATATTGTAGGATGTGTACTCTTCATGGAGAGAAAATAACTGATGCCTCGGAGGACCGTTGTCTCAATCATCGTAATCGAGAAATGCTAAATAAATATCTTGAAGCCAAATGAAATTGTAGTGAAGGAACTTGTGTCCTACAAAATTTATGAGTGAGTGTGGTGATTGACAATTTCTATCTCTGTATTGTTTAAATACTTACTGTTGATTGTTAATATATTTCTTATATGAATGGCATTATAATTCCGCTAAATACAAATTCCTGAATTCCGCCCTCTCTGTGTTTTGTTTGGATTCTTGTAATTCGGTCATCTTGAAATACTTATCCTACGATTACAAATAATTACAACAGTGAGTCAGTTTATTATTATTCATTGGTTTCCTATCACAGCTACTTTAAATATTTGATAGATGGAGAAGCATCATAATAAGTTTATTATACTGTAGCGGTAAATAATTCCCCAAAATTATTGACCACAGCAATCACTCACTATTGGATGCTGACCACCACTGTTTAAGTCGACTTGTTTAGCTGAAGGCTTCCGGTGAAGCATCCCTGCCATTTGGTACCCCGTCGTGTCACGTGCACGATCACTAGCTAGTTAAGCGTTCGTCTGATGGCTTGTTTTGGTCCCAGAATATATTACCAAGTTTGGACGATCAATTATTGGCTTTCGCTTTGTCTTTGGTACGCGAGAATAAATTAATTAGAAGTTGCTGAAAGAGATATCCGTCAACCTTTAAAATTGTGTTTTTTAAAAGCTGTCGTTGTTGATTTTTCTTGAGAAAAAAAGAAAACTTCCTTGTGCAAATTAGAATCAGTACTTCAGCGGTGGAATTCTCAGCAGCTGGAAGTCCAGGTTCGACCCTCTAAACGTCGAATAGTTTACCAGCTGGTATATATACATATATATATATATATCTGTATATCGAGTTGCCAATAAATAATTCCTTCGCCAAATGTTCTTGTGTTCTGCCGTTACATTTAGTGTTGCTGCCTCCGAAAACCAATATTCCACGGCCTACAGCTGTTGGGGAAGAAGACATACGAAGATTTTACTGACATCCTGGTGGACATGCAGGATTGGATGGCCCAGACAGTTGCTCTGGGGAGTCTGCTGACAGGTTGGGCACATTTGGCATACTACAGTGAAGAGCGGGCATATGGATAAAGGACCTGACAGTCATCGGTGGATCTATTGGTAAAGTTCAACAGCCGATGTGCAGGCAGGCAATGAAGTAGTTCCGTGACATAACGGGAGACCAGACAAAGACCCTCTCCTACTGGCGATGTTACTGACAAGCCTATTTCCTTTCGCGCGTCCCACGCCTAATGGAGAGTTAAGAGGTAGTACTTAAGTCCTTAAGCAATGATATGATAGAAGGATAACAGCAGCTAGCATATAGATATTACTCTAAGGAGAACGTTCAGAATCTTAGGAGCATGCTCAAAGACAAAAGGTGGGACTTGTTTAATGAAGACTGTCTTGATGACACTATCTCTAATATTACATGTTATCTCAAATTTTATCTTGACACACCTGTTGTCCTAGAGAAACACAATTCATAAGATCTGACTGCTTCTCCTCCCCTCAGCTTAAAAAGCTTCTCAGGGAAAACAAAAGTTATATAAGATGAAGAAGAACATTGTTGTGATAAGAATTAACATCCCAGTCAAGTATGAAATGCACAGGTTGATTCAACCTATAACCAGAAGCTTATGCCCTGTAAAACACATCTAATAAGTGGAAATATTTCAAAGAAATTACTAGTGGGGAACAGACAAAAAGTATTCCTTATTCATTCAATGTGTGTACTCCAAACAAGTCTTTCACACTTTCCCCCACAAATTCCAAGCTTTCTAGTGCCAAGAGTGTTAATGAAAGCTGCGTCCTTGGTTTCAATACAAGTGATGTTCTCCAGTCGCCAAACCCTTCTTGTAGTCTAGGTCCAGATGGTTTGCTTAGTGTTATTCTTAAAAAGTGTGCACATATCCTGTGTTATCCTCTCACGGATATATTTAATGAATCTTTTTCCAGAAATGTCGTCCCAGTCGTTTGGAAGGACATCAACAATTGCACCTATACCTAATTCATCTACTGGAACATGTATTAAATTTAGACGTATTGCTATTACCTCTCCTTTTCCTTTACGCGTCGGTGGCACAGTGATTAGGACTCTCGCCGACCATGCACATGGTCCGAGGTTCGAGCCCGCACCGACGCACATCTGATATCTATGGTCGGCCTGCAAAATTTGGGCTACCGATGTCCATGCTGAAAATCCCATACTTGTACCGAAAATACAGTGTGGAATCAAGCTGCAAATCAAAAACTATAGAAAAGTTATGCTTCCTTAATCTTCAACCTTCACTTAAAGCCTTTAACGACCTCAAACAAATCGCCTACAAACATAGTAGAAGTACTTTAGACGCAGCTGCAGTCTCGAATCATAACATTGTCTCCAGTTTAGACAGAGGGGCTAAATTTGTCCGCTACACCTTCCTAGATTACGCATCTACTTTCGACTCAGAACCTATGGATATTTCGTTAAATAAGCTTCCTGAAACTCAAACTGACTGTTCGGTTGTCAAATGGCTGTATTCTTGTTTCTCAGGAAGAAAGCAGTACACTGTATTTCAGGGGAAGTAATCCACTTCGTTGCTCACTGAGGCTGGTGTCCCTCAAGGCGCCGTCCTTTCTGCTTTTTTCTCTTCTTTCATGACCTCCATCACTCTGATGATGAAATGAACTTTGTTAAGTATGCGGACTATCTAATTGTTCCACTATCTGTTAACTCCCATCCAGACTGTACTAAGATGAACAGCTTTCTATCAGGAGTTAGCGGACGGTCTTCGTCCAATGGTTTTATACTAAGTCCTTCTAAATGTCAGACTGTTAATTTCAGTTTCCGATGTAAAAGAAAGTTAAATGAAGCTGATAATTCCCATGACCGTTTCAAAATTGATGACACTGATACAGAAACCGAGTCTGAAGTTAAGTATCTTGGATTAACTATTTCTTCTGACCTATCCTGATGTAGCAATTTATTGTAATCGTAGTATTAGTATTTCAAGATGACCGAATTACAAGAATCCAAACAAAACACAGAGAGGGCGGAATTCAGGAATTTGTATTTAGCGGAATTATAATGCAATTCATATAAGAAACATATTAACAATCAACAGTAAGTATTTAAACAATACAGAGATAGAAATTGTCAATCACCACATCCGCCACACGTCGAATATCTCCTTGCGTATTTATAACGATGTCTCGGTTTGCTTGAAAGTAGCTGCGACCTAACTGATTCTGTGATATTATTTTCATCAGTATTATCTGGACTTATTTCTGAATTATCTACAAAATCAGGATTATTAGCGGAATCATTAAAATTATAATTGGAACGACCTACTTCATTTATTGTCACTTTGTCCAGGTGTCTGTTATGAACTGAGTGATCTTTGATGTCTAATATCTTCACCACTCGATTTCCCATTTTTTGTAGTATAATTCCAACAGAAGGTCTATAGTCATTCCCTTTGTAATAATGTACATTAGAAGTCGTGGACATCAGATGCTTTTTGAGAATTCGAGATTTGAAAAGTTTTGCAGGACTTTCACGGGTACTTGTATGCTCTGCATTCAACAGACGCAGTCTATGCATATGCAGCAATTCCTCCATTTTAATCAGTTGCTCTCTCATCTCATTCAGTTTTTTCGTGTTTTCGACAGTTCACATTGTAACTCGGCTACCACATTTTTGAAAACAGTTGACACTTGAGTTGCCGAACTTGTAGTGGAGGTTTTCATTGGATTAGCTTGAGTATTTTGAAAGGTTGAAAGACACATTGACTCCATTTTACTAGACAGCTTGGGAGAATTATAAGAATGTTGAGCAACATAAGTATTCGAACTTCTGCAAACAGTCTTGATGTGTCCAACTTTACCACATTTATGGCACTTAGCACCCCGAAAACGGCAAGTGCTTCGTAGATGTAACTTTCCACAGGACAAACACGGTTTAATGTTTTTGATCTCTCGCTGCATTCTATTACCTGTGGACGACAGTTTGGATTGCTTTCCATGACCACTTGTATTTTCGACTTTAGAAAGCATAACATCAGATACTGACGTAGTGGGAGCAGAGTATTCATTATTGACATCTTCATATGTAATACATAAATCTTTAGCAGTTTGAAAGGTACAAGAAGGAATCTGAATTAACTCTTTCTCTAACTTAGGAATATTGATTCCAGCAATTAGACGATCACGTAGTTGAGTATGCAGCTGATCTCCAAAGTTACACTTTGAAGCTTGTATTTGGAGTTGCAGAATAAAGTCTCTAATCCTCTGGTTGGGAGCACGAACCAGTTTATGGAATTGAGCCCTCTCTCTGGTCTCAAATGTAGTTACATGAAAGTGATTTATCAGAAGTTCACGAATCTTGACATATGACAGAGAAATAGGTTTATCTGGAAATGACAGAGTCTTTACTAGGCTATACGCATCTAGCCCAATAGCAGTGATGAAATGTGCTGGTATTTTGTCATCCCGAACATTCTTTGAAATGCACCACGCATCGAAGCATTCCAAATAATCAGCAATCTCCCGCGGAGACCCATTAATAGGAAATTTTCCCAGGTTATTTAGTTCCATCGCGACGCCAATTTGTAGTAATTTATTGTAATCGTAGTATTAGTATTTCAAGATGACCGAATTACAAGAATCCAAACAAAACACAGAGAGGGCAGAATTCAGGAATTTGTATTTAGCGGAATTATAATGCAATTCATATAAGAAATATATTAACAATCAACAGTAAGTATTTAAACAATACAGAGATAGAAATTGTCAATCACTACACCTGATCTTCCCATGTCTTAGTGATTTCTAAAAGAATATTTCGTCTAACTGTTCACATTAAGAAATTAAGGCACTCAGGCATAACTCATCCCCTCCTCCTACAGTTTGTCAACCCATGCATCTTACCTATTCTTCTTTACTATTCACCCTTATTCTTTCCTGGATTGCTTAACAAAGATTGTGTCATACTTCGTAGAATTCTGAAGACCGTCAGTAAGGCGAGTGATATCCCACTGAACCATATGGTTGACATCGTCATTGATAAGCACTTCATTCCACGCAACAAATTTGGTAACGGAAAAAGCTATTAGGCCTGCTGAGGAAAAGACGGAGACCATCGAAAATTTCCCCGAAATAGATTCACTCAAGAAGGTCAGACAATTCTTGGGGATGTTTAACTTCTATCGACGTTTTATCTCTTAATGCGCTTATATTGTACATTTTATAGAAATTCCACGATACCATCTTTAGCGGCAGGTATTTCATTCGATGGAACTAGTGTCAGTGAATAATCAACTAACCTTCTCTGCCCTAGTAAATAAACCATTTTCTCCATCCTTATTCCACCAAGCTTTATTGTCACTGTTCTTTTTATACTTACTATTCTCTCAATTTTATATTTATCTTCTCATAAGTGTAGACATCAATTAAGCGCTGTAATAGCCGTTATTCTTTGCCTTTCTCCCCACCATACCATATCAGCAGAACGTTAGATTCAATAATCTGTAATATGCTAAAATTTCCAAACTGAATCGAGGATACTTTTTGAAACAAATTCACCGTTATTATTATATTTATTATTCGCATTTTATACATTTGGTTCCCTTGATAAATTTCGATACAGAAAGAAAGACCAGATTTGCAGTACAAAATGATATCATTCTTTCTCACAGGTTCTCATCAGCTGCAAGCCACCTGAAATTACAATGGTTATAAATAATAACATTTCATACTTCATTGTTCGAAAGGTAATAGAGAAAAAAATACAAGGTGAACGCATCTCGAATATAAGTATTATAATTTATAGTTTATTTCTCATTTTGTACTTCGAATATTTTTGACTTTATGCTGTAAATAATAGTTATGGCGAAGTTCCATAATAGCGTCCCATCAATGGGAGGTAACTGGGGAACAGAGCTTCCATTGATTCTACTGGGAACCTCTGCTTCCGCTCAGGAAGCAGAAAAGAAGTCCCTGTTTCGGTCTATGTATAGTATCAGACCACGAACTCCGACTAGCTAAAGGACCTAATGCTTTCGCTTAGAGTGAAGTATGACGAAATATCGAACAAAACTGAAAGAAATTCATACATTTGGTTCCCTTGATAAATTTCGATAAAGAAAGGAAGACGAAATTTACAGTATAAAATGATATCATTCTATTTCACAGGTTCTCATCAACTGCAGACTACCTGAAATTACAGCGGTTATATAGATGATAATAACATACTTTAATGTTTGAGTGGTGGTAGAGAAGAGATACTATAAAATTGATGCATCTAAATGAAAGCATTACAATGTTTTTAGTTTAAGTTTTCATCATCAATTTATACGCTTTTAAAGTTGAAAAGAGGGGGAGGAGTAAGACAGAAAACAGAAAAAATTGATTAACAGAACAGTGTTAGCTTGCAGGTTCACATAGCAACTCAAGAAACAAAAGCGGTTACAGTTTATGAGATTAAGATTTGTTCAGTGAGTTGAGATCACTGAATTAGATGACTAATCAAAATCAAAATTCTTTTACCAAGGGAGTGAGAAGTTAATCACACTCTCTTTCTGTATGCATAAGTTCGGTTTAAGTCGTTTGATTGCGATTGCTTCGGCAAATCGTAGTAAATTTGCTGTCCTTTGTCTATTTAATATTTTGAAGGACTTAGAAATCTCTACGAGATGTCCGGTATCAATAATGTGTCTGGTAATTGCACTCTGGGAATATCTGCTTCCTTTCAGCCACAGGTTTTTGGGAATATGTTCAGAAAACCGGATAGAAGCCCTTCTTTCTGTCCTTCCAGTGTACTTGCTCCCGCAAGTGCACGTGAATTCATAAACGCAGTTGGAGGTGAAATCAGCAGGGTATTTATCCAGTTTTGAGTGGATTAAAGAAGGAGTGGTGCTGTATACTGTTATGAGTTTTGCTGCCGGGAAGCTTCTATTTATTGCACCTTTCAGTCTTTTGTCAATCTTTTGTGACACTGCATCTCTTTTGTATGGTAGACAAATAAACACTTTTTTCTTTTCTACAGTTGGATGCTTTTCTTTCTCATCTTTTTCTCTGCTGTACTTCTGAATAAATCCCTTAGGGTATCCATTTTCCCTTAGGCATTTCTCGACGAAAACTAATTCTTCTTCGACCCTGTTTGGTGAACATAGCTTCCTGGCTCTGTCATACAAAGTCCTCACTAATCCACGTTTATAGCTTATGGGACAAAAGCTGTTATAGTGAAGATATTGTCCAGTCCAGGTTTCTTTTCTGTAGATGAACTTTCGATTATACCTTCGTTTGTTCTTTTTACATTTAGATCCAGGAAATTGAACTCATTATTATGTTCATATTCCATGGTGAATTTGATATTTGGATGTATCTCATTTAGGCGATCATATAGTGCCGATGCGTGATCCATATCGTTGCAAACAACAAATGTATCATCAACATATCGGCGATAGTAGGTAGTTCCATTGATAGCAGAACTTAGTTGTGTCTGCTCAAGGTAGCCCATGAAGATATCAGCCAGGATAGGTCCCAGAGGCGAACCCATCGCGACCCCATCAGTTTGTCGGTAAAATTGATTGTTGAATTTGAATTGTATATCTTTTGTGCAGAGCAGTAGAAGTCGCTTCATCTCTGTCTCCGGGAATGGTAGTAGATCCGTTTGTTTACAAATTATATCAATTGTTTCCATCAGTGGTACATTTGTAAACAAGGAGGTCACGTCATATGATACCATGAGTTTGTCTGATATGTCGATATTGTCAACTTCCTTGGAAAATTGATAACTAACCTTCAGGCTGTGGGTTGCAAATTTAATTCGAATGGGCTCTATAGAATCAGCTAACCATCGAGCTAGCTTGTGGTATGGTGAGTCAATCATTGACAGGATTGGTCTTAAAGGCACATTTGCTTTATGAATTTTTGGTAGGCCGTACATAACTGAAAGAAGCAGTCAGGAATGAAACAGATTAAACACATGACGTTTGGATTGGGAGGTCAGTTTGGATGTAGACGAAAGAAGCACTTGATTGGACTCGGGTCAGTATGATGATTACTCCTTCCAAAGTGGGAAGAACCATGCACCATCACTGACAGACGTCTACCAGAAGAGGAGACAAACAGAAAAGTGTTAATACCAACCAACTCCATAGATGTATATAGTATCATGATGAAGCCGATAACAAGACAGAGCACCAGTAGGTATCAGCAAATAATTCTGAACAACAAATCGGCCATTTATTTAACATAAGTGCTAGGGTTAGAAGACCAAATTCACCTATTATCGCTTTGTCTTTTTCTTAAGACCACTGGTGCGTTCGCTTCTCTTCCGTGCCTAAGATTTAACTTGGACCTATTGCTTCGCTCGTAGTTGACAGTTAACCATGGGTACTATTAATATCCCTCTTCTGCTGTTTACTCCACTTACATTACCTCATGAAGTCATCTGTTTTTATATTTAAAGCAGTTAAACATACGATATAACAGTTGTGTGATGATTGATATTTAATATCATATGCACACGGTACTCAGATATCTGTGTTCTCCCATCGAGCCAGCTGTAGGGGGCTTTTGAGGACTTCATTAAAAAACGTGGTGGCACTTGATAATTGGAATTATAATGGGTCTTCTGTAATGTACCGATAACACAGGAAAAGTATTTTAGAGGGTTGGTGGAATTATCTTAAACCGCCTCTAATTTATTAGTTCTCGCGTACCAATAACAAAACAAAAGCCAATAATTGATCGTCCAAACTTCGTGATATATTTCGGGACCAAAACAAGCCTTCAGACGAACGCTTAACTAGCTAGTGATCGTGCACGTGACACGACGGGGTACC